TTTTTTTTTTTTTTAAATTTAGGTTATCCTATCCAGTGCAACACTGGCCAGAGCTCCCTGCCCAGTTAGTCTTGCAGACAGCTCTGGTTTTCCCCATCATCTCATGGAGCTGAGGCGGTGGCAGAGAGGGCACCTGGGCTTTGGAAAGCATCCGATTAAAGATTGTCCTCGCACCGTCCCCTTCAAAAAAAGTGCATAAGTGGCATCACCGGCAGCTCTCGGGGAGCCCTGGGGGCAGGGGAAGGCCAGCGCTGGGATCAGCACCCACAGGTCCCCCTGTCAGCACAGCCCCTCTTCGCCTCTGCACTCAAGGTGCCTCCCAAAGCCAAGCTCCCATCGTGCCCGATGCTGTACGCTCATCTAAATAACGTCCGTAAGCCCCGAATACCACACCTGTGTCCCTCAGCTGAATAGAAATCAGTACCTTTCCTTTCAAAGCACGCTACGTGAACTCAAACCAGTTTGGTTTTGGGCTAGGCGTGCACCTTATGATCTGCAGGGCCACCGCTGCAAGAGTGGGTTGGACTGGGGCTGCCCACGGACGAGCAGGCAGGCAACCGTCCCTCCGGCCACCAGCGATGGCATCTCCTGCTGCCGGGATTGCTGCCTGCTTGCAGGAAACAACAGGCACGCTGTCCTTCTGGGATTAAATCTGCCCGGCATTTTGTACCAGAGCTTTGTGTTTCCCTAGCTTCTCCCCAGGAGGTGAGCAGCCCCCTCAACACCGCATTTGGGAAGGGGACCCTGGGCTGGGGATGAGGGCACGGGCTGGGGTGATGGCACAGGGACCTGCCTGGATGGGCAGGCAGGAACAAGAGGCAGGGATGCAGCCTCACAGGGGTTTTGGGGATGTGCTGGCACTGCCCTGCTCCCCCAAAACTGATCCCCGCTTTCCTTCTCTCCTGGGTCATGCAAATCCCTCTAGCCCTGTCCTTCTCACGGAGTTTGCTGCCTCGGCACTGCTCTTAATTTTCCAACCCCTCAGCTAAATACACCTGAAATCAATGCTCTGCGCTGCTTCTGTGCACGACCACAGCTGCTCACAAGCCGGACCCACCTGCAGCCAGAGCTTCCCTACCCAGCCCGGCAAAGCCAGGTCCCAGCGCAGGGATGCTCTGCGAAGAAATTTGGCTGAACGAGCTTGCACGTTCCACTGCTCCTTTATCCAAACGGCCTTTACATCCTGCAGTTCCCAAATCTCTCTCCTCGCGCCCCTGCTCGTGACAGATCAGTTTGTGAGTGGTGAAACAGCTCACGTGGGAAGGGGAGCACCCAGCTGCACCCCTGCTCCTCCCACACACCACAGCCCCAAAACACTGGCAGCCTTCAGGGGCCGGTGAAGTCTCAAAAGGACACAACCACTGCTTCAAAGCTCAGGCTGGTAAGAGTTCCTCAGTCCACCAAAGGAATTCCTTTTGCTGGATGCATGTGGAAAATAGAGCCAAAAAAATCATAGTTTAGCTCCGTTTCTCCGATGAGTGCCGCTGGCCATCAGCAGCACCCCTTTGCCGCAGGAAGGGTGCTCGTTGTCCCTAACGCACATCGTTAGAGGATGGCTGGCTGCAGTCTGCCTCTGGGATGCCGTACTGACTCCAGAAACACAAAAGCCAGAGGACAGGGGTTCCCGGAGGAGGCCAGCACGACCCCAACCGAGCGGCAGCCAGCAGGGACCAGGGCTCAGAGTCCACACCAATGGGGAAAGCCAAGGCACACGTCTTCTTGGGTGCTGGTCAACAGTGGCTAAACATGAGCCAGCAGTGTGCCCAGGTGGCCAAGAAGGCCAATGGCATCCTGGCCTGTATCAGCAATGGTGTGGCCAGCAGGACCAGGGCAGGGATCGTCCCCCTGTACTGGGCACTGGTGAGGCCGCACCTCGAGTGCTGTGTCCAGTTCTGGGCCCCTCACCACCAGACAGACCTTGAGGTGCTGGAGCGAGTCCAGAGAAGGGCAACGAAGGTGGGGAAGGGTCTGGAGCACAAGTCTGATGGGGAGCGGCTGAGGGAGCTGGGGGGGTTTGGTCTGGAGAAGAGGAGGCTGAGGGGAGACCTGATCGCTCTCTACAACGACCTGAAAGGAGGGGGTAGCCAGGTGGGGGTCGGCCTCTTCTCCCAGGCAACTCCTGACAGGACAAGAGGGCATGGTCTGAAACTGTGCCAGGGGAAGTTCAGGCTAGAAATGAGGAGGCATTTCTTCACAGAAAGGGCCGTTAGGCATTGGAATGGGCTGCCCAGGGAGGTGGTGGAGTCCCCATCCCTGGAGGGGTTTCAGAAAAGACTGGACATGGCATTTAGTGCCATGGTCTGGTTGACACAGGGGTGTTAGGGCAAAGGTTGGACTCCATCATCCCAGAGGTCTCTTCCAACCAAACCGATTCGTGACTCTTTGTGGGGCCTTTCAGCTCAGCCTCCCTCTCTAGCTGGCCAAGCCCACCATTTCCAACACAGACCATGCTCCTCCTGGAATGTTTCTCCCACTACTTTCTGATCCTCCTTGAAGAAACAGAGGTCGAGTGGGAAAGAGATACAAACTCTGATTTTGGAGAAGGGTTTAGATGATAGAGTCACGCTCCTTTTGTCCACCCAGTACCACTGGACATGTCCATCCTGATCTGCTCCTTCCACCTCCTCACATTTTAAAACTCACCGGTTCCACTCAATTGCTCATCAGCATGAGCCACCCCTGGGGGGGACCTTGCTGGAAACCAGGGACTGGCAGCTGAAGTGACACATCTCCAAAACACACCTTTCCCTCCCACTTTACCACTGCTTTTACACCAGCATATGGAAAAGCATTATTTTTTTTTCTGCTCTCCTTTCTCTTCCCTTCCACTTACCATTTTGCCACTTGAAAAGTTTTCAGAAGCACCTTGGTAAAGAGGAAGAGAAAATCCCAGCCATGGTCTTCCTCCAGTCCATCCTTCTCAGCACGTGAGCACAGAGGCAAAGCAAAACTTATTTATGTATTTTGGAACCTGCTCCAGAAATTGATGTTTTCTACTTTAACCACATTCAATTTTAGGAACTAAAGTGACTTTGAAATGTGAGGAGCCCCGTGCCCCTCCTGGCTGCTCTCTCCCAGCCTCCCCAGCTCCTGTTTCAGCAATGCAGCTCCTGGTGCTGCACCCAACCGCCCAAACCAGTGGCCGAGACCTCGTGCCAGCGCTGGGAGACGCAGCCTCAGCAGGTACGGGACGTGGCCACCATCCTGCTGGCCACGAGGCCACAGCTCGCCCTCCGCTGCGGAGACAGGCAGTGGAAATCAGCCCCCGGGACAGCAAAGACTCTGGCTCCACGTGCTGGGGACCGGTTGGGCTCGCAGCCTTGCCGGGGAGTGCCACGGCGCTTGCCAAAGACTGGGAGCCCTATCTTTGAGAGGAAGCCAAATGCGTCTTCCCCACACACATCAAAGGGGAAACCTCCATGTTCCTCCCCTGGGCAGCTCCTTCTCAGCTGGAAACTCTGAAGGCTGCCTTGGCCCCAGGGGTGGGATGGGTTGGGATGGGGCCCCCACCCCGCCACCCC